TTTGGACACCTGACCGGATGCTACACTGAGACTACGGATAGGGCCGAATCTCGAGCACAGCGCCGGCGGTACTTCTCGGTCAAAAAACGTGGCGAGGTAAACCGGCCTTAGAGGGCGCTTGAACAAGGCCAATGCTACGCCGTAGCAGCCAACTCCGCCGAAGTCCGCTTTGATAATTAAATGACGTGGGCGCTGAAGAGGTCTAGTGTGAGAGATCTGTGGTCGCCAACGACCAACCAGATGTCCAACCTGGGGTTCTAGAATCGGGCCGCCCTGGGGTTAGTATCCAATGGCTGCAAGTGACATGCATACGGGATGGACAGATTCGGCAATCCACCCCTGAACGGCCCAACCAGGCTCGGACAGGTTAGCTGGAATGACAATACCGTCGGGTTATGAGGCTGGATTGGAACTAAGCTGCTAAGAACAATATAAAGGGGCCTGACCCCATAGCATAATATGCTCTCCAGTGCGGGGGACGTCGGGGCACATTTCGTCTCCGCATTGCTGTTGCATTGGGAGTCGAGATGCAAGGAGTCCACTTTCACAACTCGGAGCCCTTCCGTTTGGCGCCAACTGCCTGGCTATGCAGTAACTCCCGGTTCCCGGTTTTGACAAATAATATTATGCATGTCGAGTAACCTATTACATTCACATGAGGCACTCATCTTGACGTTGTTGAAATAATGAATGCTTACTTGAATTTGTGGTATTGTCACTCTCTGTGGTTAAGGCTCGCTCTGTCGATGGAAATTCCTAGTGTTAACGACATTAACAATAACACCCCGGGGCGTTATAGCGATAGCGAGTCTGAGAAGAGTTCCTAGAAACCAATGATAGCCTCGACACATATTCGGTCCTATCCCCCACAACCCCAAGATCAGAGTGCATCCACAAGGCTTAATAAACTCATATTAAGCCCTCACCAGCTGCTCGCTTCACCCATAAGGCTCTACTACTGATGTCAATTGGTGGAACCTTGCTCCCACAGACGAGATCGGGGTGGGCTATGTCATCCACATCGGACCGCGATATACGTCAGCCGCACAAGCCGGGTCCGTTCTATCGAGCTCTACTCCATAAGTGATCAAGGTGTGGATCGTTCTAGCACGGGAAACGAGAACCTCCCAGCTAGCAAATCGAACTCGTCAGGGAAGGCCATGGCCTTTGGAGTGAATGCAACCCAATGTACCTAAGATATCGCACCGAGTCCAAGATTGGCCGTACTAACAAGATTTACTACAATAAGCGGAAACGATGGCGCAAAGATCTCTTTGACTTAACATTAGGTATTCCTAGCATTAAAATCACAATCGCAAATCAACTATATCCACCACTATCCGAGATGGATAATTCCGCCCTGCATCTAACCAAAGGCCGCGTGTGCTAATCTCTCTTCGTCATGGCTCGTACGATATCCTGTTGTCACACTTCTGTCACGGCTTTACTTGCTGATCGAAGGGTGTCGATACCCATGAGACGTCCGAGATAAAACCGAAACTGCTGTTCGACGGTACTTGAGCAGGTGAGTTGGGTAGCTAGCTAGCAAGCAATGCGATTCTGACCAGCCCATACTGGTTGAGACACCTCGGGCGTAGTCCACAAACACAACCATTGCATGGAGTCGGTCGCGAGGCTAAGAGATCGGCAGCAGATTTATACGGTCGAAAATTGTATGTAGAAAATCCTATGGTTAACCTCAACCTCATAGATCAATGATCTCGGAAAAGAGGGGTGGAATATAGTATCCGGAAGTTGACCTGTTCCACCGAGCTCAGCTCTTGACAAGCGAGCTCAGGCTTCCCAGGCCATTCCTTACTCTGGGACCTGTCGATTGGATGTACATCACGAAAAAAAAAGATGATTCCATAAGTGATTCGAGCTGCCGCGATCATCAACTCTGAATTCGCTAGGCGAACAGAGGACGACCGGGCACAGATCCGTGGTTGTAAAAGAGGAAAGGAAGGAAAGCGAAAAAATTCTAAGCAGAAATTTATGTCTGGAGAAACTGATAAGAAGTGGGGCCAGTGGACCCGCTCAGACCAACCCTGACCAACCCAATCAACGGATGTGGATTACCTAAGCTGCTCACGTACCTGACTTTGGTGCTTCGCAATCTGAACTCCAACAGATTCATCATCTTTCAATTTGTATTTATTAACAAAGGCTGAAGGCAACATTGCCACTCTTGAAACAATTGCAACTTCACTTCCCAACAACATTGTCAACACCCTGCGAATACAAATTGCAATCAGTCGATCAGTCATAATGGACGCCGCCGCGATAGAAGAGGCGAACCGTCTTCGCGTTTCTCTGGGCATGAAACCCCTGCCCGTACCTGGCGCAAGCGGTCCTCAGTTCAAAGAAAAGTCACCCGAACCCGGCGAAGAAGTTGCAAGCACCCTCGAAACCCGAGAGGCCGCCGCATACGATAACTACAAGAAACACCAGGACGCCGAAGTAGCTAAGAGGAAGCGCGAAGAGAAGGCTGCAGCCATCAAGAAAGCTCGCGACGCCGCAAAACGCTTTGAGAATCTAGAAGGCAAAGGGCTAGGCGAGGGCAACGAAGATGTTGATACCAAGTCATGGCTAATCAGCCAGAAGAAGCGCCAAAAGCAGATTGAAAAGGCCCGAAAGCTAGAAGCAGAGTTGGCTGCTGCTGAAGCCGAAGCCGCAGCCGCAATTCAATACACATCAAAGGACCTCGCGGGTGTGAAAGTCGGGCACGAGATTGGTTCTTTTGAGGATGGAGAGGAGCAAATCTTAACTCTCAAAGATTCGAATATCGTGGGGGACGATGAAGACGGTGATGAACTTGAGAATATTAACCTCAGAGAACACGAGAAGCTCAACCAAAAGCTTGATCTGAAAAAGAAGAAGCCTGTATACGATCCCCATGCGATCGACGAGAACGGAGAGCGTAGCCTACTTGCGCAGTACGATGAGGATATTGACGGCAAAAGATCCAAGAAATTTACTCTAGACGGGCTAGGGAACACGGTCCTACAGAGTGAAGACCCAGATGGCCAGCAGCAAACCCATCAACGACAGAAGATCAACCTCGATTTTCTCAAGGACGACCAACCAGTAGCATCAGACTATTTGGACATATCGGAGATCAAAGTCAAGAAGCCCAAAAAGAAGAAGTCAAAGTCGACTAGACAGCGACCAGTGGACGAAGATGACATATTTCCCCTACCCCCAACGGAGCCAGATCAGTTTATGGACATAGATTCCGGTGCTGGTTTCATTAGTAGGAAGCGCAAGACTGATGACGCAGCGCTCGTCGATGACGAAGACCTTCAGGCTACTTTAGCTGCTCAAAGACGAAATGCCTTGAAGAAGCGAAAGAGGCAACGTCCCGAGGATATAGCACGACAATTGCGAGAAGAAGCACAGACACCCGAAGCCAGCAACGAGGCCGAAGATACTCAAGGAGGTGGTCTTGTCCTGGACGAGATCTCTGAATTCGTTTCAGGTCTTAAGAAGGAAGACATCGAAGACCGCAAGCCCCGCAAGCCCAAGTCGCCCAGAGAAGCACCAATCACAGCTATGGAGGGTGACTCTAGCGAAGACGAGCACATGAAGGATGAGGATGATATCGACCACGATAGAGTCAAGCGTGAAGAATCGATCCCAGCGGAAACGGCTGTCATCGGTGTTGATGAGGAGAAGACCATAGGAAGTGGTGTCGGTGCGGCGCTACAGCTTCTCAGAGAACGCCAACTCCTGAAGGACTCTGGCGCTGCCGATCTAAATGAGCAGCAGCGCCAGCATCAGCTGTTCATCGCGGCGAAGAAACAAAGATTAGCCGAGATCGAGCAGGAGGCCCGCAACCAGCGCGAGCGAGATCGCCACAGTGGCAGACTCGACAGAATGTCGCAGCGAGAAAGAGAGGACTGGCAGCGCCAGCAGAATAACATGCGCGACCAGCAGACGTCGCGACAGCTAGTGGATCTCTTTAACAAGGGATACAAGCCGAACGTGGAGCTGAAGTATCACGACGAGTATGGCCGCTCGCTCGACCAGAAGGAGGCCTTCAAGCACCTCAGCCACCAGTTCCACGGCAAAGGCAGCGGCAAGGGCAAGACTGACAAGCGGCTGAAGAAGATCGAAGACGAGAAGCGTCGCGAAGCCCAGAGCATGCTAGACGCCAGCCAGAACGTCGGTATGAGCTCCGCAACTGCCCAGCAAACCAAAAAGCGAAAGGAAGCCGGTGTCCGACTTGCGTGACGAAGGAGGCTATTGCAGATTGCCATTTTCATTAAAAGGTGCTTCATCCCTTAATTTATATACTTACGATCAGTCAGAGTAATACATTGCTGACACTATAGTTGAAGTCCCCATTATGTGCTGTGTGCTGTGCCCATTCGACGTCTATCACCTTGGGATCATGAAGTCGTGGCCCATCTCTTTTCCTGACTTGATTCTAACTTCCACCATGTTCTGCCACTAACGCCGCAGTCTATTGTTCGCGGTAAGATGCCATGTCGTAAATTCATAAACTCGTAAAGCGTACATCGGTATTTTCGTAAATAGCTTCTACCAAGTGACCTTTTAAAGGTGCCCTAAACATGCTATAACATCATAGATGATATAGATATAGACATGATATGATAAGTCTTGATCTGTAACTCTAGAAGCTACCTAGTACTCTAGACGTCGTCGTAGTCTTAGATTGGTTTCAATCTTGAATTTAGCACGAATTATCATTGTAGCATAGAAAATGTTGCTTGGTCGTGGTCATGAATCATAGGTGACTTGTGATATGATCCCGGTTTGCAATGCTAACATAATACAACCCGCGGTGGAAATTCTTAAAATAGCGCCTCCTGGCTAGGCCCCTGGGCTTTTTCATACAAAGAAGCACCGGATAATGAACACCTAAGGAAGTGAGCTATATTAAACAAGAATGTACGTTTTTATGGATGCCAAAATGGGAACCCGAATTGTACATACCTAAGTACCTAGGTAGAGTACAAACCGGGAAAAAGAAATGATCCCTCGGGCCGGAATCGAACCGGCGACATTTCGGTAACAATCTTATCAATTACAGCCGAACGCGATAACCAACTACACCACCAAGGGTCTGCTAGGAAGTGGGCTTCCTAGCGAGGGATTGTTGAGACGAGGAGCCGTTATGCACTCTCATATAGGCTAGCATTTCCGTCTGAATTTTGCCTTAGTCATACAGTTTCCATTACCACCCACCTGGAACAACAAATTTCAATGACTAATCAGTTTACACGCAATAAGACGGACATGGTAAATACGTGGAAACTTGCTCCGCATTGCAGTCCTAGGAAATATCAATTGAATTAATACGTTTGTTCTAGTAGCTCATTCTATTTGAGGGTGTTTATCCTGGAAAAGGGGAAATGGTAATCCGTTGCCGGCTTACCAAGGTGAATATGTAGGAAATGGGGAGGATTAATACACAGAAGTTAAGTGACCCACTTGGATCTAGATCTGGTCGCTGTCCTCAAAGGTCTAGCAATCACGTACGCGCTCGCGTATCTTAGTTGTCCTCCTCCTCAGACTCGCTCTGGGAGGGAAGAGAGAAGGTGTTGCGGAGAGGAGATGGGGCATGGGGCGTAGTGTTGTTTTTCTCCCGTCGCTCGCTGACCGAGTCGATCGACGACTTCTGCTGGAGGACGAGATGGGGCCGGTTCGCCTTGCGGTCGAACAGGTGGTCGTTGTGGTCTACGGCAAGGCTGTTGCGGGAGAGGCGTCGCAAAGCCAGAGATTTCACCGGCGCGCTGGGGCACTCGGCTTCTAGCCGCCACTTGGGATCCACGGGAGTCATCGGGGTCGGGGGAGGGTTCGAGGGAAACTCAATCGAACCACGGGGACGATCAGCTCGCTTCTTTTCCCCTATACGTAGGTCCTCGAGACGCTTGGCCAGCGGGACCCGAAACTCACCCGTGTAGACGGTCGTCTTCTTGGGAGAGCTGGCTTCGGCGGCTGCTTCGTCCGCGATCTCCTGCCTGTAACGCTTGGCGTACTTCTCCTGCTCGCTCTGGAGGGTCTCGAAGTGCTGGCTCAGGGCACGCACGCGGCCTCTGCCGAGAGGGCGGACGGGAGTCCGAGGGGTGGGGGGAGTCTCGTTGTCGGACATTCTTGGAAACGCGAATTCCTATAGAAATCGAAAGGTGATGTATTTGTCTGCGGGACTTCGGCCGTGATAAGGTTCCTCGAGGTAGAGACTTACCAAAGCAGAAATCTACTTACAGGGCGAAGGAAGACTGCGTACCAGATGTGTGTCTGCGATGATTCGGAGCACTTCTGGTACTTTTGGTCTGGGAATGCCCCCTTTTTAAGAGTAGAATAGCGGTGTGAGGTGGACGAGGATAGCTCTTCCTCTCGTCGCCTTTCCTTACAGCATAACAATGGCTTCTTTGGCTTTTCAAAAGGCATTGTCCACCAGGAAGTCATGAGCTTTGTTGGCAATATATATACAGTGATCCTTCAGAAGAACAATTGGAAGAATGCCTCCTTGTCGAGGTCGAGACTCGTTGTCTCCTTGTACTACATGTAGATGTAGATATCTCCTTACCTGGGTCGACATACATATTGTTGGTTTTAACAAAGGGGTGGGTCACCCAGGAGGTATCCCCAGGTCGCACTCTCTTTCTCTTGGGCACCAGCATGCTTGTTAACTAGCGTGTTTGTTATGGCATATTTTGTTATGGCATATGGTACATGTACACAAAAGGATAGATCAGCTTAGGTGTCTACCAAAGGTGCTGAGCAAACCTAAGAAACCTTGTATATTAGGAACATCCTTAAAATTTCCTGGCATACCTTCTGTCTTCAGAATGTATTATTTGAATAGCCATACCTGCTTATCTCGTGAAGAGAATGGAAGATGTGGACCACCACACGTGTCCTCACCCCTAAAATGGGATACAGTACAGCCTTTCTACCTATCAAAGACGCGTAGCTGCAAGTCTAGCGACACGCGACTTCCCTATATAGCATATGAAATTGAACAAACGAGGTTTTATTGGCAGTCTTTCAGTTTAGGGTCCCGCCGTGCCTACCACCACTACACGTGCCTGCCTCTGTTAATGGGCAACGACCTTGGTTACTGAGCCATTCGCTTTTTAGCGCCGTTTTGTTTTGCGATATAGGCAAGCCCTCTATTTCGTGCTGATCTTTTTAACTTTTCCTTTTTTTCCCATGCTTGCCCACTTGTAAGGTTCACCTACTAGGAAGTCAACAAGTTTGCGATTTCAAGCCTTGCAGTGCTGGTGTGTTCACGATACCAATAGGGAATCACTAGCAGCACTCCTTTTTCTATCTGGAAGTTCTCACGCTTTGAGAGTCCTCGTTCTCCTGCAAAACGAACCTCTTGTCTCGTTCAATCATCCCGAAATACCCATAACCACCTCCGCCTAGTCGCAGTCATTCCACCAAACCATTATCATTCTCCGCCCTTTGTCAGTATGTTCTACCTAAGGAATAAATGATATCGAGTGTGATAGTTATAGGCTAATAGATTGTATAGGCCGTGCAATATCCACTGCCGCGTCGCAACCATGGCCGAGAAACTTTCGCCCAAGGGCACCGAGATGCCCATTGTAACAAAAGAACAGGCAAACTTGGCAGCCAACGCTGACATGAAAGAGAAGCGGCGTTACATGTTCACCACACGCATACCTGAGGAGGTCAGCGTTATGATATTCGAGGAATTAGATGACTTATCGGATGTCCAAGCTATAGTGTTCACTTGCCACGAAGCATATCGGATCTACAAGCGACATGAAGGTGCCATCGTGAAATCCAAGTTCTTGAACGTCATTACCAGGTCGCCATTCTACAAGCTTCCGCTAATGGCTTACGCATCAAGGGATGTGGACCCCACTGATCGCAACTCTATTGAGCAGTTCTTTCGTCGATATATCTGGATGACTGATCCATGGCCGAACACTTATTTCACCCTTAAAGGCTTTAGAGGCTTCTACGAAACCCTGGAACTTGTAGGGTCAGCGGAAGGATTCGTCATGAACTTGCGCTTGGACCGGTCTCCTGATAAAAACCATCCAATTTATGGCGATAATACTGAGTTAGACCGGATGGTTGCCACAGCCCTAATGGTTGAGACGGCCGCAAATCTATTCCACCGAATGCCCAGCAAACACGGCGAATTCATAGGTATCGCCGCACACAGACAGTTGGAGTACGACTACTGGGCAGCTTTCTCACAAAGTGAGTGGAATCAAGTCAAGGCCCTTTCGGGCTTGTATCCAGAAGTACTTGGCAAGGGTATGTATCCGCAAACCTTCACTGCTTCAACATCATTGATATTGATATGTGCTAATAAAGATGGGTAGTACTAAAATTCGCGAAAGATGGATGGCCTAGTGAATTCGATCTCGCTGGTCTCTGCGAACAAATCCACGACATGCATAGCAACTGCCGCTGCCCACAGCATGAAGGTGCCCTGATGTTTGCCTACATGATCGGTGCGGACCACCTGTCATCATATGAAACCTGGGACCCAGACGATATTGCGCCCCATCCTGTGGCCTGGGACTTGAGAGCGTTCCTCGACACGCTTCCACTGGGCCCATCGGGACGATATGTCACCGAATTCCCAGAGGAATTTATGACCGGCGAGAACCATCGCGAACGTCGCTTTCAGCCCGACAATTACGTGGTGGACGATGAGACGCTAGAGCGCTTGGAGCGTGATGGACCTGCTAAGTTCTTCAACTGTCGTGGTGCTAGACTGCTAGGAAACACAACGGTTTTGTTCTGGGATAAAGAGAGCCTAGAAACGTATGGAGAGCAGTGGCGAAAGATATACCATCCTACTATGGGTGATTACGTCTCTGACGATGAGGCTTCCGACGATTGGATCACCGAGGATGAGGCTTCCGATGATGATGATGATGATGATGATGCGGCGGATGACAATTAGCGGGTCGGACAGGGGCTGGCAGGATCACTTTGGTGGTGAGCGGTTAATCCAAGTCCTTACCTCGATGAAGATGTCCTGTCTTGGTCGGGGTTCCGGCTGCGATAGGTTCAAGTCAGATATGTATAAGTTTTGTAAATTTATTTGCGACCACGCCCTGAACAAAGGGATAGGGTCTCTGCCATGAGAGGCAGGACAGAGAGGGTGTGCTACAGGAGGTAAAGCAGATAGGTTTCTGTCATGGGATGCAGATACACTAGGTAGTCTAGCATGACTCAGCTAATCACGATAATAATGAAACCTCATTGAGAGTCCAACTTTTTTCTTTGCCCTAACTTTGTGAAGTTATTTCTTGTACCGAATTTTACTTGACTTAACATCTAGAAGGATGACGAAAGTCCGCCGAAAGACGGGCCTTGCATACATTTATTGATGGATATTTAATAGAGTAGAATAGAAATAAGGCATTGAATACAAAGCAAATCCAAACCAGTAGAGGCAAAGAACATTTGTAGATGAAGAAAAAAAAGGCAAAATAGTAAGTTTATCTCCGGTACGGGGAATCGAACCCCGAGCTCCTCGGTGAAAACGAGGTATGTTAGCCGTTACACTATACCGGACTTCCTAATGTTGCATATGTGTTGAATATCGGCGTTGCTATTTTCATTTATATAGTAGCCATATTCAGCTTGTAATTGGCTGCACGATTTTAGCACCTCGAATTATAACTTGCCAATTAGGTACGGATTTAATTTGTGCACCATATCGTGACATTCTAGTCTCATTTTTCATCTTTCTCCCCTTTCACAATTCCAACAATCTTCAACCTTTGAGGAGAACTGAGTTACTCTACTCCGTATCACCGAACGCAATAGTCGCAATAGTCGCCATAAATGTGTAAAACCATGCCATTGATACATTTTAGATAAACATCACATTATAATCATCTTCCTCTGGATCCCCCAACAAGGCAAACCAAGACCAAGTTTTCAGCTCCCAGCCTACCTAAGTATTCATCCCTACCCAATCCTCCCATCGCACCACCACATCCATCACGGCATCATCTTCGACATCATCCTCGCGAGCCCCCGCGCCGCCCCCTCCACCTTTTCTTTCCCATCATTCGCTTTCGCATCAGGCACCTTCAGCGGCGACACCCCAGTAG